TCGGTAGTAATGCACGAAAATGTCGAGCACCTTGTTCCTTTTCTCAGAACACTACGGCCCAGGCAAAACTAGTAGTAGCGGCTATCGATCGAAATTCATCGGCAGTCGCGCATTCATGTCGTTTACATGTTTACGATAACAGATTAAATTTAAACTTTTTGATTGATTCGGGCTCGGATGTTTCATATGTGACACCGACTTCTAAGTTTAGGAAAATGCATCCTGATTCGCTTCAATTATTTGCCGCGAATAATTCCAGAATTTCTACGTATGGAACAAAATTGTTAACTGTGAGTTTAGGACTTAGACGAAACTTTTCGTTGGAAGTTTTTAATCGCCGATGTACCAGTGCCTATAATAGGAGTCGACTTTTTTAAGGCATTTTGATCTTTTAATCGATTTAAAACGAGGTAGGCTTATCGATAATACTACGAAATTAACTCGTATTGGTTCTCTTTCCGATTCTAAAAATTATTTTTCGGTAAAGTTAATATCTGGTGATTCACCATATCACAGAATCTTGAAAGACTTTCCGGAAAGTACTGAAGTTAAAATCCGATTCGGGTGAGGTAGAGTAAAGCATAGTACGGTTCATTACATCGAAACAAACGGTCCTCCTGTGCACAGTAAACCGCGTAGGTTAAGCCCTAAGTTATACGAAGCAGTAAAAAAAAAAATAATTTCAATTTATGATAGATCAAGGTATTTGTAGACCATCAAAATCAGCATGGTCATCACCTCTTCATGTAGTTTCTAAAAGTTCGGGCGACATACGGCCAGTAGGAGACTACCGAAAACTAAACGCGTGCACCGAACCCGACAGATACCCTATCCCGCATTTACAAGACTTTAATAATACGCTTAGCGGAAAGACAATTTTTTCAAAAATTGATATCGTTCGGGCATATCATCATATACCAGTCCATCCAGATCATATACCGAAAACTGCAGTTTGCACCCCATTTGGTCTTTTCGAATTTCCGTTTTTAAATTTCGGACTGTGCGGAGCAGCTCAAACCTTTCAAAGGTTTATGAACGAAATTCTTGGAGATCTAAAATTCGCCTACGTCTACTTAGATGATATTTTGATATTTAGTCATACGGAAGATGAGCATAAATCTCACCTACGTACTGTTTTTGAAAGATTAACTTCATATGGATTGACAATTAACGCTTCGAAATGTGTTTTCGGCGTTCCGGAAATATCTTTTTAGGCCATATAATCAATAAAGATGGTACCAAGCCTCTGACGAACAAAGTGGAACCGATACTTAACTACCCACTTCCTAAAACGGTAAAAGATTTGCAGAGATTTTTAGGATTTTTAAATTTTTACCGTCGATTTTTACCCAACGTAGCCCAGAATCAAATACATTTAACTTCGTATTTAAAAGGGGCTAAGAAAAATGATAAGACAATCCTGAATTTGTCTGAGGAAGCGCGGAGTGAATTTCAAAAGTGCAAACAGCTAATCGGTAATGCTGTTCTTTTGGCACACCCGAAGAAAAGATGCCCAGTTGGTTTTACAGGTTGATGCGTCAGACTTCGCGATCGGTGGAACGCTATCACAAATAGTTGATAGAAATTTACAGCCTCTCGCATTTTTCTCACGAAAGCTTTCGCAGGCGGAAAGGAACTATAGTGCGTATGATCGAGAGCTATTGGCAGCTTATGCTGCTATTAGGCATTTTAAGCATATGTTGGAAGCACGGAACTTTTCTTTAATCACCGATCACAAACCGCTCACGTATGCATTCCGACAGCGTTTGGATAAGTGTTCACCTCGTCCGGCTAGGCAGTTAGACTTTATCTCACAATTCACCACTGAAATTCGCCATATAAAAGGTTCGGAGAATATCGCTGCCGACGTACTTTCGCGTATAGAAGCAATAAGCATGCCTAACCCTATCGACTATGAGGAAATCGCTAAAATGCAAGAAATCGACACAGAATTACAAACATTGCTTAAAGAGTCAAAAGTTCTACATCTCAAAAAAGTTACCTTACCGAATTGTAGCTTTTCGATATATTGCGATGTGTCAACAGGTAACGCCCGTCCCTTACATTCCTCCGGCATTCCGTGAGAAAGTTTTTGCCACCTTGCACAATTTGTCTCACCCCGGCATTCGCGCATCAACAAAGTTAGTATGTTCACGGTTTGTTTGGTCTTCCATCCGCAAAGATTGCGCGAAATGGGCACGGCAGTGCATTCCGTGCCAGAAAGCAAAATTAAGCAGACATACTAGAACCCCGTTAATGAAGTTTCCAGACCAATCACAGAGGTTTGATCACGTCCACCTTGACCTTGTTGGTCCCCTACCTCCTTCTCAAAATAATTATTACTGTCTAACTATGATATATAGATTTACTAGATGGCCCGAAGCAGTACCCATACCAGACATAACAGCACGCACAGTAGCACAGGCTTTCTATGACCACTGGATTACTCGATTTGGTTGTCCGACTGTTATTACTACCGACCAAGGGCGACAGTTTGAAAGCGGCTTATTTCGAGCCCTTTCCCAATTATTGGGAATCAAGAGGATCAGGACGTCTCCGTACCACCCACAGGCAAATGGACTGATCGAGGAATTCCACCGTCCTTTGAAAGCTGCCTTAAAAGCGCACGATACCAGTGACTGGGTGGCTGCCCTTCCAACGCTGCTGATGGGTTTCCGCGCCGCTCTCAAAGAGGACATAGGAGCAACCACTTCTGAACTGGTATGTATGGAAAGACTATCCGTCTCCCAGGAGAATTTTTCAATCCGACACCTCCGGATGCGTTCCCCAAACAGTTTGTGGAGGATTTAAAATCTCACTTTGCCAGTGTCCGCCCGACCACGACTTCTAGCCACGGTCAGCGAACATGTTTCATTCATCCACGCCTTCACAAGTCCACATATGTGTTTGTTCGACACGACGGAGTTAGAAAACCACTTCAAACTCCTTATGATGGACCATTTAATGTGCTAGAAAGACGAGATAAAACGTTTGATCTCGAAATAAAAGGGACTAAGCAAACGATCTCCATAGATAGACTGAAACCCGCTTTTGTAACCATGGACTCTTCTTCAAGTTGCTTCCAAGAGTGTGAAAACAAAACCTTCGGACATTTGTATCACCCGTTCTGGACGATTAATCCGACCCCCGCATCGGTATGTCACATTTCGTTGACACTGCGGAGGGAGTATGCAGCGGCAGCGCCAAACAGGCGATACGGACTTAAAAACTGTACAGAAAAGCGCCAATTGGTGAAACAGTAAACCCGTTTGGCAAACCTACAGGCTGACGGAGGAGAGAAGATTTTTTCCCCGGCAGTCAAGTGGGAACTACTTCAACAAATGTGCGCGTCTCTGTTTTCGCCGAGATATGTAAACTTGTGTACTCGCATCTGTACTGTGCTCTGAATTTCTTAAGCCGTTATAATGTACCCGGCAACTGTTACTTTTCCTTATTAAATTTGATTATTAATTGTAACATGTCTATCTTAACTAAGATTTCGGCTTTCCTAGTTAATGTTAGGGATATTTTCGTATGCACGTGTTACTCACACGTACATCAAGATTATAGATCATTCCGGATTATGGGTGTCCGAATTAACGACTTTTGACTGTACTATAGTCTTTAAAGAGTTTTACTATTATTATTAATATTATTATTTCCAGACCCTAAACTATCCCAGTTTATTGTTCAGCCTATTTAAATTGCATTTGGGGGGGGAACCTTTGCATTTGCTATTTGTTTTACTGTTAATTATTTCTGCCTATTAGATTGCCTCAGTTGTTGAAAGATAATAGAAACTCGCGGTTAAAAGCAGAATGTATAATATAGTTTCCAGTGTTTGTGATTATGGTATAATACTACATGCAAAGGAATAAAAAAACAAAACTGGTTAACATACAAGTTGTTTCTATTTATTTGAAAAAAAAAAAAAAAAACTTGATAATCCCATTACACCAGCAGGCTTTCCATTCAGCAACTGACTGAAGTTTAATACTTAAAATATTATTAGGCCTAGTGTGTTTTCAGTTGTATATATTAATAGTAAGCACCATACACTCATGCCTTTTCCCCCTTTCCAATAAAACATTCAACGAGTTAAATCAAATATTTAAATTTAATTATAAAATAGACTTTGCATGCCTGTAAGCTGATGTTCTAAGCATTCTAAGTACACTTACAGTAGATATGATGCATTACACTAAATCTTGTATTAGATGCATTTTCAACCTACAGTGGTTTATCAAGAGAAAACTCATTATAAAGTGTAAACTCTCTATAACCATAAAAATCACACTAAACCAGGGTCTCTTAAACTTTTTTCAGTCGCGACCCCCTTTTATCACTGAGATTCTTTCATGACCCCCCCAGGGCTCCATAATATTTACAAAAATTTTGTGGGAAACCGTATGTATTGCCCAAATCCGACATGTGTGTGAGTGAAACTGTCAGTTTTTTCACTTTTTTTGGACTGTAATATACTATTGCAGTTTTAGATCATTACCTTTAATTTCTAATTTTAAGACATAGAACAATGTGAAAATTTTACATAAGTAACAGACGAGATGACAGCATTACGTGCAAAGCAAGGACAATGAACGTTTATATTATAAAAAGAATGCATCCAAATGTTTTCGTTTTCGTTTTTTTTTTTTTTCCCCTTTGTCTGTTTTATCTTATCTCTTTATCTATTTTCAGATACACTGTGTAAAAATATTTGTTAATTGTAAAATTATTATAATAATTTAAAGAAATATTAAAAATGCTAAAAGTTTTGGCAACCCCCACAGTTTAAGAAACCCTGCACTAAACAATAATCTGATGCTCAGAGATGCACGTAAAATATTTTTATGCAGCATATTTTAAATACACCCCACATATTAAAATAACTGTTGTGAATAATGAAATTAAATGTGTATAGCATAAAATTAATGATGAACTTAAGCAAAAAAAATGATATATTTTAAGCTGCACTTATAACATGTAAAAATTATATTTACCTCAGCACTATTATTTTTCACTTTGTCTAAAAGCTCTAAGATACTCTGGGGTGAAGGAACTTTTTCATCCTCTTCTAAAACTGGCAAATAATATTCATATGTAGTAGAATTTACTACTAGTAGGCTTGGTATGGAAAGTGTTGTCATAGCAATATTATTTGCAACTTCTGGTTGCCCAAGCCATCCAAAGATAAAATGCCTAGATTACAAAATCATTACCTCATGTGAGAATAATCAAATAGTGTTTAAAAATTTTTAAACAAAGCTTTATTTCAATATAATGACAACAAACAAAAGATTCATGACTATAAGCATAGGTAATTTAAACTTTTTTTTTAAACTGAAGGAAAGAAAATTTATCTCACAAAATATAGCTATTTTAAAGCTAAAGATGGGGGGAATGAAAGCTTTTGGATTTTATAGTATGCCCAAAGGGACATTTTTTTCATTTAAATACACATTTCGAGAGCATTTGAGCTAATATTCCTTTAGGCTAAAAATATTAAAAAACGGCCTGCCTTTAGAATTTCCAATAGACAGTCTCGCGTGCTACAGATAAAAATGATTTTTTTCTGTGCAGTGTTGCCACTCCTTGCTTTGAAATCATCGAGTTTGTTAATCAAAAATTCATTAAAGTTTTACAAAATATGAAATAGATAATAAAAAAAATCAAAATTCGGGCATTTAGACGCCCATGTTCGAATGGAGGATTACATTATTCAAAATTGGATGGCTCTAAGTACCGTCATTTTTTCACGAGAGAAACATATATTCATGCAGATTCTTCATTATTTAATTTCGTTAATATAATATAGACTGATAATATTTGATGACAACAGTTTGAAAAGTGAAACTCCATTTTATAGTGGATGACAAAAAATGCCATAATGAAATTAATAGCCCTCCTGGGTAAATTGTCCCTTTGGGCTTTAAAAACAAAGTGCACATTGGTACATTAAAAGACTCACATTGAAAAAAATTAACAGATCAGTTTTCTATAAAGAAAACTAACAGAATTACAAGAAACATTATTTATTTTGTATTAAATGCTATGCAATGATAAATATAAAAACTGAATTACATTTTATTTATTATTCATATATCTGTGGCATACGAAAATGCAGTGCATAATACAGGAATAAAAAGATACTATCCAGGCACAACATCATAATAGGTATTTTTTTAAATATAAAATTTTAATTATTTATATTATCCAATCAGGTTCTGTTTCACATGATTAATGGAGGCCAGAGGCTTAAGTTGGCAACAGTTTTTGTTTCACTAAGACACTATGCTCTTCAGTATGTCTAAGTCTGCAAAAGATAGCTTAATGTTTCAAGAATCAATTTTCTGTTTATAAGAGGTAAAAATAAAATGGGCTATCAAACAAGGATGACTGCCTACTGCTGGAATGATTCATAAGAGAAAAGGTTTAAAAAAAGGGACTTGTAAGAGCAGTCTTGATGTGAAAAGCTGCAGAATTAATAAAAATATTGAAGGAAAATTTTATTCATATGAAGTACAGTCGACCAAAATACTCGCACTATAATGTAGTTCACTACAAGCTCAATAGGAAAAACAAAAGGTCACAAAACAACTGAGAAAAAGATGAAAATATCTTACTAGTATATTTCAAAAATTAAAGGCTACATCAAATTTATAATAATTAAGATGCAATTATGTTATGCAATAGATAATTGTATTTCTTATATGCTATCAAGAACGTATATTACAAAAATACCAAGTGCTTTAGAAAAATTAAAAGTTAACCATTCAGTCACCTACCCAAACAATGAAACTGCTTACATGAATTTAAAAATGTTTCCTAGATTTTTTTTATCAGAAGAATAAAGAATTAAGAATGAAAAGCTTTATCTTTACTGCACACTGACATGTCATCATTTTGAAATATGTGTTATTTTGGAACATGAAATATCCTGAATAGAAACATAATTTCATTAATTCCCCTCTAAATTACAAAACCATCAGTTTTCAAATATTATTAAAGAACTGCAAAGATGAACCACTGCAAAAATAGCGACATGAAACTGATAGAAACAAAATTTAAACGCACGTCACAAGAAATTAAAAAGACAAGTTTTATTTTGAATTCCTTGAATATGCTTAATAAAGCATAAGCTACAAGTGCAGAGGTGATAATTTTTTTTTAATCTGAATTTTCTCAAAAAAATTTGCTGAATGTTTAGAATGTTGCAATAATTACCTAAAAATAAAGAAAAAAACTAGAGATCTTTTGGATATGATTAAAGAAACAAGTAAGAGCAAGCTTAATAAAGTTGAAAATGATACAGATACTGATTACTGTATGTGCGTATTTGATTTTCGCAAAGCACACTAGGGCTGTCTGGGGGAAGGATTCGTATACACGTTACATGCGGGAAAAACTATGAAAACACCTGTGCATCCAGCCCATTCACATAATTCGAATCTCGGACTGAACTACCAGTATTAGGAGACTTTACCGCTCGGCCACTAGTGAGCCCAGATACTGATTAAGATAACATATTACGATACACGAAATCACAAAATATAATTTAAATTGTTCAAAGAACTGTAGAAATAGAAAATGAGAAATCTGGAAAGTAATCATAAATTTTATGCATTAGAACTTTCTTGTTGATAGAAAATGTTAATAAAGATACCACTATTGAAAAACTCTTTGAAAAATCTCACTGAGTGACATGAAGCGTGTTTCACTTTTTATTACATTGTTGAGTAATTAAATTTTAATTTGCATTTATGCATTTAGTTTTATTACTAAAAATTTAAATTACACGACTTATATAATTTTCAAATGTGATCTGAACTTACAGTGCTCAAATGTAACTCAAACAAACATTATCACAAGAAGGGCTTGAAGATATATATATGATGTTTATATTTTAGAAATAAACTCACAGATGTAATAAAAATAAGAATAAATTACATCATTACTTACTCGTGATATATATCTTTATTATTAACAGCAATAGCTTCCAAAACATCCCTGAATCTAGAAATAAAAAGATTAAAATATACGCACATGACAAAGTAATTTCATTCTGTAAGCATTTATTTAATCATACAAAAATGACTGCTTTCTCAGATACCTAGCTTCTAATACATGCTTTTCCATCTCATTATGAGTGTTTCTCGACCGAGTTTAAAAAAATGCAAATATTTCATTTTTCATCAATAAGCAAAATATACATCTGAAAAATAAATTAAGGAATAATACTTACTCAGACATTCTAAGTGTTAGCCCACCTATTTGATTTTCTTCTAAAACTGCAATTACCACATACTTTCCACTTTTCATCAACTGGTAAAAATTCCCATGAGTGACTTTAATAAAACTTGGAAACCTTTCTTTGTTCACCCAATCGTATAATGTTTTGTTTCTGCTCTTTTGGGTTTCTGCTATAGATAAAATAAAAAATTTTGACTTTTAAAACAAGCTCCAAGCACTAATATACTTACAATATTTAACCCTCTGAGCGACACAGGTTTTTGGATCTGTCATGAAGACCTGTATTCAAAGACACTTTATTAGCTAAATTTGTATATTTTCTTACTTAAGGCTCTATTTTCATAAACCTACCTTTATTAGGATGATATTTATATTATTAAAGAAGGCAAAATATCATAAATTATAAACTAATATATAACAAATGACAAAAAATCTCATGACCGGATAAAACCGGCCATAAAGCTCAGAAGGTTAAGGCAAAAAATATGGTAGCTATGTTTAGAAGGAAATATTGTGACAAAAAGAAATTATCACCTTATCATACAATATAACATCTTCAAAATTTAAAATGTTTGCCAAAACCGGACTATAGCTTGTTCATTTCAAGACTCACAATGCTGATCTATTATCTCTTATTTTAAAGATGAATTATAACAAAACCAGGTGGGCATGCGCACAAAATAAGTCTCATGAAATGTAAAATAGAATCATTAAAAAAAATTCTGAAAAAAAGTGCACATTAAATTTTATGGAGGAAATTAAGGTATATTTGAATATTCTGGAGCATTTACATAAAAACAATTTTCATAAAAAGGTCAAAATTAAACAAATAAAATTAATTTTAACATAATTATACTACATTTTTAGCTTTTGCTTAAAAATAATTTTAAACACTCCATTATATAACATTTACTGTCATTTAAAAATTATGAAAATGAGAGGTAAAGATTTTAAAATAATATGACAGAAACTGCCGTATTTAGGTATTTTCCCACTGATCACAAAAATTGGCTACCGCCAAACTGTGAAAGTTAGCAGATATCCTGTAAAAGTTGTAGCAATCATTCCTATCAAATTCTCAAGGAACTGATGCCTCTTTACTTAATATATAATAACATTCAACTGTTCATTCTTCTGCCTCGTAAAATGGCTTTTTTTCGATTTCTACTATTTTGTTGGCCCTTCCAGTTGGTTTTACTGGAAGCTCTGCTTAGAATCCTATGAGTGTAAACTTCCAGATGTAATCAGTCTATTACTGTTTTGTCATCCATACCCAGCTGGGTTTTTTTTTCCCCATTCAATAGACAAAAATTCTCCAGAACGGCTGCAACTGAACTGGCATGCAGTCACAAATGTGTTTCTACAACAATCAAACTCTTTTATTTTTTTTAATGCAAGAAAAATGCAACAATAACTGCTTATTCATATCCTTGCTCACAAAAACAAAATGTTATTTATTGAGAACTGGTCAAGGTTACATCAAACAAAATTAAATCTATTACCGTTTTGTTGTCCATATTCAGCTAACCGTATTCTGTCTATTAAAACACACTTTTTTCATGGTAGGATGTCACGGTTGGAAATAACCCACTGTTTGCTGTTCTGTAAAAGGCATGCCTTAAATTTTAAAAATTTCTTTCCAAACACAAGGAAAAAATATAGCAAAAACAGTAAATTTATATCATGATTCATAAAAACAAAAGATGGTTTATCGAGAATCAATCGAGTTTATATCAAAAGAAAGTGCAGTGATTATGAGTGTTCCATGATGCCATACTCATTCATGTCTGGCATCAAATCATGCTGCTTGGCGACAGTCTTACGATCAATGGAATAATACCACAGAAGAGAGTCAATTACTACTCCTCTGTTAATTAATATACCATGCACCATTCACTACTGCACTTACAGATTATGGCAGTAGATGTCTTTGTTAAAATAAGTTCTGTCACAGATGCTCAGTAGGTTTTGCAGCAGATGAGTGAAGATTGGCAGAATTGTGGGCACAATAACTGGAGGATAATTTGGTTCCAACAGACTAGCAAGCACAAATATGGCTGCACTCCAACTCCATTTCGCAGAACATAGTGAGGCATGTCATGGAAGTCTACTCAACAGAAAGCTCATTAATGTCCATATTTTCTGTATTATACACAGCAGTATATACCTTTATGTAAAATATTATTTCACAACTCCATTAGTTGTTGCAAGGTTTTCACAGTTTTTTTGTTATTATTTAAAGCTGTTAGATGCAATACATGGCACCTTATGTACGCAATCGTGTCTCCCCCCAGAACAAATATCATTTATTACAACCAGTAGGTCATTAAAGGATGGAATTTTTTTAAATATTAAAAATCTTATATTTTAAGGGTATTTATATAAAAAAAAATTTTTTTTCTAAGCTTAATCATGTCATGTATATTTTATAAAAATGTTTTATCTAAATATTGCTCAAAATGAAAATGAAGAAAAATCTTAATTTTTCAATAGTTTGTAATATGTGAAAATACACAAGATATTCTAAAATAAAAGTTACAGGAAACAATTTTCATAAACAAATAACAATTAATGTAGAAAAAGAACAAACCTTCATACCGGAAACAGGACCCATCCTTACAAACGAATATTGACGGTTCTTTAGGCATATCGACACCATCAACCAAAGAAATGCACTGGGCTGGGACAGTATAAAAATTCATTACTGTTTGGAATTCTTCAGCAATTCTTGTGAAATTATCCTATGAATATAAAAAAACTAACAAATAAAAACATGTATATGCATAAAGAATCTTCATTTTGCATTAGATATTTGATATGATAATACATAAAACATAATTGAACATAAAACAAAATATATACATATAATATAAATTGGTACTTATGTATTATCCCATTAACCACTGGCGGAAATTTCGGCAATTATCAGCAGTCATTACTGAAGAATTCTAAAGGACATGGTCATCCATAAATCTCATAAAATCGCACTACTTTTCCAGTCAGTGGAATAATATGTAAGTACCTAAAAGTCATACACAACACAAAATCCAAGATCCGTACTCGATTCCAAAATTTACGTATTTTAGATCATGAGTTTAAATCTACTAAGATGATATGTAGGCATTATAAAATCAAAAATATGAAAGAGTTTTTGTGAAATAATGAATTATTTTTTACTTTAAAGGAATCAAAATTTACAGAAAAAGCTCAAAATGTATTTGTTTGCTTTATAAAACATTTCTTCCAGTTTTTTAAGCTGTTTGTTTGTTATGCTAATTCTTTCTCTCTAATTTTCGATGCACATCAATTCTTATTCAATTACAAAGTCATATAACTGCTGTGTTGAGAATTCCCACTAAACTGTCATCAAAATATTTTCATTCTCAAAAATCTCTTGGTCACTTTCATAACTGTTGGCAGTGCAGCAAGAACTTTTTCAATTAAAGTAGCAGGAGAAGAACCCAAAAGCTGCAAAAAGTACCATATGATGTCAGAGATCATGTATTTTAGTGATGTCACAGTTACATATGTTCATCACAAATTCAGTCTCTGTTGGTTTCATAAGTTATGGACTGTACTTAGATTCATAGTTTAGTTTTAACAAAAATTTTAAAACTGGATAGCTAATTATCAATTATTTAAACTATAAGGTATTTCTCCTGCCTTTTTAGCATGCCTTTGTAGTGTAGTGGTCAGCACGCTCGACGCGAATTCAAGAGGTCTGTGGTTCGAGTCCCAACGAGGGCATTGCTCATTTTTCATCTCTCCTGCTTTGAAATAACCTAATGTCTCTACAAAACATTAATTTTTCTTTAAATTAAATTTTAATTTCTGCTGTTAATTCAATTAATTTAGGTTTTTAATTTTAAATTAATATGCTCATATTCATATAAGTTATTAAGTGCTTCCTCGCATATACACCTCACTTTCATACTTTTTGTTTTTTAGCAGGCAGCTCATTTCTTTAAATAATTAATTTTTTGCTTTTTACTTTAAATGTTAATACTGTTCAGTAAATTTTCCATTCTACTTGCTTGATTTGAGTTTGAAAATAAGAGTGTCGAGGATACATCTTCTAAACTAAGCATCCCTTTTAGTTGTTTTCAGTTTAGTTTAGTTGTGTTCTTAATGAGCAATTTAAATTTGAAAGATTATTTACTAATTTATTTTGTTTCTGAATTCTTTTTGCTTAAATGGACTAATGTCTTTATTCTGATTAGTATCATTCGTGACTTTTAATTTGGCTCTAGCAGAAATATAATTTGATGCTTACTTGAAAGAAAGACAAACACTCTCACTTATTTTAGTAATAAAGACTTTTAATAAAGGTTTTTAAAACAATAAAGACCAAGTATCTCAGACCGAGTATCTTCAAAGTCGTATGACTGGTAGGTTGTTTACGATCTGCCGTTGTTAGTATTTATACAAAGTGGATAAATGAAGATGAATCCAGCAATAGACGCTAAGTCATTGGATGTCCAAAGTGTCATCAAAGAAAAAGAACACCAGAGACTGCTCTGCTTGTTACAGCAAAATTGGTGTAAGACAATGGCTCAGCTGACAGCCCCAATACAATGCAAGGTCCAAGTGCAAGTGTCTCGGAATACAAAGTTCAGTGAACACTTTTAGATATGGGACTGTTCAGCAGATATCCCACTCGTCTGCCTCTGCTGACCAAGCGTCATTGTCAGCTATGATTACAATGGAACCGGGAATATCGAGACTGGACCATTGCTATGTGAAAAAGACAGTTCCCTGGTCAGAAATATCACGATTTCTTATTCACCCCATCAATGGTCATGTCAGGGTCTTTCGGGTAAACAGTTGCCCCCCCCGTACAAAGGGCTAGTAGTGGCCGTATTATGATTTTGAGGGGAGGTTCTCATGGGTGGCTCTAGTGGTAGAACTTAACTTAATGTTGGTAGAATAGACCATGAAAGCTGTGTACTATGTAAATACAACTGTGGATCAGTTGCACCCTTACATGGCATCTGTCTTCCCAACTCGAAATGCAATCTTCCAGCAGGACCATGCCCCATGTCACAATGAAGAACACAATGTCACATGTTGAATTGTGTTGGAGTGGTTTGAGAAGTATAAGGATGAATTCCAGTTAATGTCCTGGCTACCTAACTCGCCAGATCTTAACCTGATAGAGAACATTTGGGATGTCATAAAGCACATGTCGGAATATCTTGACTTCGCGTGATCACTGCTACATTTGGTACAACCTGTCTCCAGTCATCTACCAAGAACTTGTGACATCCATACCAAGGCGAGTTGCAGCGGTTTTGCAGGCCAAAGGTCGCACAACGCATTATTGAGTACGTAGTTATAATGTTTTGGCTTTTTAGCATGTATACATGTTTATCTGTACTACTATTACTTTCCTAGAACTTTTTAGCATAGAAAAGGAAAAAATTACTAACATATATGTTAAATAAATAAATAAAAGTCGTCATTCCAACTTAATATTAATTTTTTATAAAATTTTCATAATTGTTTGAACAATAAATAACAGCAATTAAAGCTATGTAATGAAATTAAATTCAGTTCCCATTAATATTTTCCCCCTGTTTTCTTATCCCCACTGCATAATATGTGTCTAAGGATAACAGTGCTCAATATCCTAAAAGAAAGGACAAAGACTGCATCAACTTTTTAACCCCTTAATAAGCCAATCAAAATTCAGAAAATAGTCTTCTCCCACCAATTTTTTTATTTTTTATTTTAAGTCAATCTCTTTAAATCCCTTTCTATATTTTAAAACTGTAGCAGACATGTTGTGTTGCATGCATATCGAAAAACAAATTCTTGAGCATGTTTACTAAAAATTATTTAGTTAAGTGTAGCCAAGCTAACTGAGTTGAGTGCATTAAGAGGTTAATGAATAATAACAATAGTCTTTTATAAAATTAACAGAAAAATGTACAGCTTTAAAAATATGGTACTCTTGCATTATCCGCCCGATCTTCTCCTTAAGTTGATGGGTAACTTTTCGCCAACTTAACACCACATGAAAAATAGTAACCATTTTAAAAAACAGTGCATTAAAAATTATATAAAATAACAGCAAATTAACACAATTAAAAACAAAAGAAACATCCATGATGAAATGCAAAAAATTACATAAATCAGACATCCACAATGGAATACTCAAAATTTCATAAACAGCAACAAATTAATTAAATTAAAAATGCAACAAAACACACATAATAAAATAGTTAACTTTTTTTTTTTTTTTCCTGTCTTCTGTCAATACACACAGCAATCTGTTTTAATTTAATATCATGGGAATGCAGAATTCTTGGCACTGCAGAGCAAACTCTCCTTTTGACATGTTTTAATTAAAAAAAAACATTAAAGAATTGCACAAATTAACTTCCAAGGAATATGCATTCTTACTTTCCATTACTATGGAAAATGCCATATTTCTTTAAAAATGCAACACTTTCATTTCATTAGGAAGTAAATCCCACAGTGGTTGCACAAGAAAATAAAACTACACACACTAATTACAACAAACAGAAACCACTTCCAGATAAATACACTTTCATAAAATTCTAAGTTACCTACTTTAGCGACATAAGGTGCCCAGTGATTCTTATCAAGGTTGGAGGGCCAATGCAACAGTATAAAAATTTTATTATATTGCTGTAAATGTTTCATTGACATTGCATATTTAATTAAAGGTATATCAGAAGCTTAGTTTATACTTTGCATCATAAATGAAAAAATTCTGACAAAGCTATTCAGTAGCAAATGAGCCAAAATGGAAATAAAATATTAATAATAATAATGAAATAATTTAAAATCCACAAATGGAAATAAAAGATTCTGAACAATTGTCATTGAACTTTTATTCACCACAGCTGTACATCTTGGAATTATATAATATGTGAACTTATATAAATATTATTATATTTATTCCCCTCAGTTGATTTAATTCTCTATATTCTTTTGAGAATATTCATATCTGATTCTCTATATTATACATAATATAAAGATATTCTTTTGTATAGAATGAAACAAAAATTTTGAAAAATAAAATCTACCCTATTCCTTTTTTTGAACCCCAAGTATATAATACATTTATGCAAACATATACAACATGCTTTCTTTCATGTATATACCCTTTTAATGCAAAATGTTAAAATACATACCTTTAATTCCTCACCTTCGCCTAATTTTGCACCATTCACGTACACAAAGAACACTTTCTTATCTTTCTTGATGACTTGAAACTGTTCGCAGTTGACAAAGTGACGAACTGCTGGACTATAAAAGAACCAACACAATTTATATACTGAAATGGATCTTGATCAAAATCACTAAAAACGAAATAAAAAAATATTTTGTTTAATCCATTTTGAATTTTTTTTTTCCCGCACAAAACATTTGTGTGGGTACTAACTTTTATTAATTAAAATTATTATTTTTCACCTTTTACTTTACTCATGTAAAATCAATATTGTAGCAGTATGATAGCAATTAACTGCCTCACTTATGCATCACTTACCAAGAATCAATCTAAAAATCTCTGAAGTCATTCAATACAAAAGATACTTAACAAATAATATATTCCTGCAGTTAAATGGGCAAAAGTTACTGATAATGGAAGTTTTCCGTTTCCTGCAATTTAATTCTATTCTGATTTGCAATGTTATTTCTTTTGCATCAGTGAGGAAAGGGCTTGTGTGATTTTGAGTGACATTGCATAGTGTCTTGTAGGGTGATTTAGAGATTAATCTTTGGTATGAAAAGCCTTGAAACACTAATTAATAAGTAAGGACACAAGCACTTCTCACTCTCAAACTACGCAGTACGTTTTTGGTCTGTACTTTACATACAACAATTTTTTTTTTTTTTTTTTTTACTGTATTAGAAGATATAATCCAAAAATTTCTGTGTTATATCTTAGTAGAAGCAATAATTTTTTATATCATTTCACAGATCACTTTTATCAGCAAGACCACCATGTCTTAGAATACTTAAGGGTGACAAATGAGTTAACCTTTTGAGGAGCACATTGAAAGTTTTTCAGCTTTAATGAAATTAATTGATTACTACTAACTTTGAGTTTTACAAATGTGAAATATATTGGGGAAAAAATATTGCACATCATGGAAGTTAGATGAGTGGTGGTTTAGGAATGAAACCTATGTAGAGCATGAAATCTGCAAATTTTTACACACTGATTTTTGCAACAAAATAATACATATAATTAGTCAAATATTAAAAGAATATATAACTTATGAAAATTAACTCAATAATTTTTTAAATACAATACCAATAATGCTATTTATTCTGATCTTATTTCAGGAGGAAATTTCATATGATGTTATTCTAAATGTACAAATATACTAAGTAAATGCTAAAAATGTAAAATTTATATCATTCTATCTTCGTATTTTCAACAAAATTAGTACGTAGAAATCATCTAAAATATATCATTACTCATATATTAACACAGCTTTACAAATATAATACTTTTGAAAGCATGTGATGCTTTTCATACCATGATAATTACATGGTATGCATACAAACACAATTCATATAGTTTTTGTTCTGTGTGGCTCCCTTTTGTGCTGCAGAAGGCACATCTTCATGATGTGCTGTTTACTGGTATGTGAGGCAGTTTTGCCATGCACAAGTCTCCAGGCACATGAGACTTTTTTTCCCTGCAGTCGAACTATTGGATGGTCTTTTTTGGTGACAGAAGGGACACTGATCTTTTGCCTTATGACTGATAGTCTGAAGTCTTTTATTATACCCCAGCAATCAAAAATTACACAGAAATGTTTTAGCTCTAAGAGGACGGTGGTTTCAATAGAAAAACCATATATTGAATAATAATAATGAAATGCAAAATTTATTACTGATTTCTCTCGATATTAGTGTTTTTACAAATAAAAGAATATGTAAATAAAAAGTTCATAAGTTATACCTGGGTAACTACAAGCTTTTTTTTTATGGAGTTACAATTTTTTTTTTTTATTATTATTATTATTATTATTTTTCATCTTCGTTTATTAAATTTTTATCTACACATAAATCAATACAGGGAAAAGGCTCAGTTTAGTGTTGCCATCTCTTGGTTCTTTTGAATGTTAAAAACATATTACCACAATAAAACTACTACACAACTGAGGAAAACAATTCTTTTCTTAACAGGTGGTTTCAAAGGTTGACTTTGCACCGCAAAGGGTTAACATCATTTACTATGTCTATATACAGCAAACTAATTACATTAACTATATATAGCATACTAATTACATTAACAAAATATTATTTCATCAGAAACATGCTTATTTAATAAAATAGTTTTCTTCTTTTATTATGTAACAATGATAAGCATAAGCAGATGGAGTTGTGAGTAAAACAAAGTTAAAAAGTTTTTTCAAATGTTTTTAAAAGTTAAAAACAAATATAGTATGTAATAGAATTCTTCAAGCAAATTATCCTTAGAAAATTCTGCTCAACTCACACATCAATTTAACACAGTAGTCTTCATATAACAAGAAATAAATTAAATTACCCATCCATTCTTCGAGCAAATTCAACAATATCGTATCGCTCTCTGTCTCCTTTATATTCAACTGTCTTGTGGCCTTTAATACTATAAAAAATACAAATATAAATGACTCAATGCACAGAAATGTATAAAAAAATCAAAAGAATGACAATTAATTTAATGAACTTTAAGTTCTTAAAATAAGTGAAAATAAACCAGCTCATTTAATTTAAAAAATACAAAACAAAAAAATTTGACTTATGTTCTATGGAAATTATTTCTTGTCTAAACAATTTAAAGTTTGTTTAGATATTCTTATTAATGGATGAAAACATAATTTATAACATTATAAATTGAATAAACATTAAATAAAATTTTACACTTACAACAATATTGTAGGAAAACCAGATACTGAAAATTCAACTGCAACACTGCTAAATCTAGTACAATCTAATCTACCAACTCTTATGTCTGTGTCTACCAAAGACTGAGCAACCTGATTCCATATTGGTTCTAAATTTTTGCAGTGGCCACACCATGGAGCATAAAACTAAAATAAATTATAAATTATTATGAGAAATAATAATAAATAAATAATTTTTTAAAAAACTCTAAAGAACATGCACTATTTAAAAGATTACAGATTACTACATACTACAGATTTTGTTGTGCATTAGTTGATTGATGCTTGAGGCACTGTCATCGCTATGAAAAACTTTTGTTATGTCACATTCATTTATTACCACGTCTCCACACTTCTTCCCATATTCCATTAACTGGAAAATTTCACTTTTTGTTTGCAATATCTGAAAACCTTCAAATTTGTGGCTATAATCATAAACATTAGTCAGCATCCTCTACACACTATTGGCGATGTATCATGAGATTGGCAACTAAAGGCCTGTAGTTCAGATAAATTTTGTTTTGCTCTTTTACGAGCTGACGAGTTAACCCTGTATTATATCATTTTAGTTATTTATTATACTTACATCTACTTCCCATTCTGAATGTTTATCTGAATCCTAAATAAATAAATTGCTATCTATACTTATCCAAGGCCGATGCTTTTTACATGCCCTAAATTCTGTTGCCAGTGCCTCCCTAAATTCTAAAAATTTTGTTGCCACTAAATTTTTTGTTCAAGTGCCTCCTTAAATTCTTAAGATTTTGCCATCTTTTAACTTTGTTACTTGGTATTTCTCAAAATTCTAAACATTTTGCGGCTGATCTTCGGAATATGGTAACTGGTAGTTTGGCGACATTTTTGAGGCGATAAAGGTTACTACCTAGGACTTTGGTAATAATGTGAGAAGTACCAAAGCCGCTTGAAATGTTATCTTCAGGGGGCTTTGGAAGTACTCAGTTCCGATTACGCATTATTTTGTGTGAGGGAAATGAGAGATCATGAGATATGTCATGTGACATTACGAATTACAGTTCTTTAATCGGAAAAGGGGGGAATTTGGAAAACTGTAGTACTATATTATTTTGTATTAAGCTTCATTGTGTGTTGTGTGAAATAGTGGAAGTGTGCGTGCCACGTAATGAAGATTCTGAAGATTAGATAAGTTAGTATTTTTAATCATTTGAGGATATTATTTTTATGCATTGTTCTAAATGTAAGGAGTAAATAAATTAATATGATATTATTGGAAAATTGTTATTAGCAATGATTTAGTTTAAAGTAATTAGAATTGTAATCTTTTTTATTAATTTAATGTATGTGCTTATTTATATTTTAAGTAGTGTTTTTAATTTAATTATATTTTAATTTAATGATCATGATTTTGTGAGTTATATGTTTGTAGTATTTTGGAATACGTTTGAGTAGAATACGTTGAGTATTTTCATGCATTTTCGTAAAATTTTTCTAATTTATGAGAAAAAAGCAGTGTACATGGATATAGTGAAGAGTGTGCGCAATGCCCTTTTTGTGCAATTCTGGGATGTTTTTTTAAGTAAAAATAAGTCGGCGTGTACATGGTTTATGTGTATGTGTTATTTTGAAAAACGCGTAAGGAGTATGGTATTGTGCACTTTTTCCCAATTTTGCAGTGAATATTTGTCATGATTAAGCAGTTTTGTTTGATACAATTTCTAGCATAAGTGTAATTCGGCTAGTAGATTGTTGGAAGAAGTGTTCAGTAGATTAAAAGAAAAGAAACATGTCTTTACTTCGTGAAGACAAAATGGCGGCGGGGAAAAAAATAGAGGGTTGCTGTAGGAGAGTTGGTTGCCAAATTTTCGCCAAAAAATCGCCAAGTTACCATAATGTAAAGATCAACCAGTGTTTCTTTAAGGTTGTGTGAGATAGAAGTGAAGATGTTTTATTAAGTTATTTATTTTACCTGGTACCTTGGTGTGAACTATAAGTATGATTTTAAAGATCCTGAAACAGAAATAAGAAAAGTTTATCGGACACGTAATCAAGATTCTGAAGAAGAATAGGTAAGTTAGTATTTTTAATTAATTTGAGGATATTATTTTTATGCATTTGTTCTAAATGTAAGGTGGAAGTAAAGTAATTTGCGTAAACGTGCATGGAAATAATTTAAATATTTGACACTAAGTATTTGTAACCATTTGTAATATTTGCGGTATGAATTAGTTAGTGACGTTTGTAATATAATAGATAATGTAGAGGTAAAAGTTTTTGAATATTTTATTTATTTTATACGGGGAAATGTTCATATTTGGAAACGGTATATACTTTTTCGCGATCAGGTAATTTCATATATGTTCTTTTTACCGGGTTTAAAGATTCAGAAAATTGTTATGCATTTTCGTGAAATTTTTCTAATTTATGAGAAAAAAGCAGTGTACATGGATATAGTGAAGAGTGTGTGCAATGCCATTTTTGTGCAATTCTGGGATGTTTTTTTAAGTAAAAATAAGTCAACGTGTACATGGTTTAGTGATATTTTAATTAAATGATAGTTATTTTGTGAATTTTATGTTTGTAGGAATTTGGTATACGTTTCAGTTGAAGTAAACGTGTATGGAAATAATTTAAATATCTGACACTAAGTATTTGTAAACATTTGTAATGTTTGCGGTATGAATTCGTTGGTGACGTTTATAATACAGTCAAAAGTCTTTGATCCAGACTCGTCGGGACTTCGCCTATTCCAGATTATCGATTTTTCCGGATTATAGATCATCAGTTTAAATCTGGTAAGATGGCATGCAGAAATTATAAAATTAAAAATATGAAACCGTAATTTATAAAATAATGAGCAATTATGATCGAAAGGGTATCAAAGTTTACAAAGAAAGAAGCTTAATATTTATTTGTTTACTTTATTAAACATTTCTTTCAACACGCGCATGCGTAAAGCATACCTTACGCATAGCCGAAATTAGAAAATTGCAACCAGAAAACTATTTGATTTGTATTCGTGATATTTATAATGACGATGAATTTGATTTAAATCATATCAAAGACAGAGTACATCGAGATTAAATACTACATTTAGTCAGGAGTTATAAGCCGAATAAAATAAAAACATCAGATCATTTTAAACATCTAAACTTAAAAAAAAAACAATAAATCTGCCCTGAAGATAACGATAGTGCTGACAGATCAACTTCCAGTTCATTGCGCGCCAAGACATCCCCCCCGCGCAGAACAGCGTGAAATTGATAAACAGATTTCGGTGCGGTTAGATAAACAAAGGATATGCCTTAATGCATTTTTTGTAGCAATTCGTTTTTTGTTTGATGGACATCGAAACATACTTTCGTTTTCTAGATCCTTTGGGAGCTCCAGCATCGGAAATTCTATTTGACATAATCGAAAGTTCAAGTTTACTTTTATAAAAATTGCTCTTAACAGTCTGCAAAAAATAATAAGCCGGATCCAATTCGAAGATTAAGGAACAATGCAATCATCAACATTAACTCAAATAGATAATTAGATAATTTTAGCTTATGCTGTCCGTCATACATAAAACGCGCACGCGAAAACGTATTCTGCGCTTCCGCAGACGCATATGCGCAGTCATAAATGTCTTGCGCGCACGCGTAAAATGCCTATGCGCAAGCGTAAATGCGGCGCATGCGCAGAAAGATTTTAGCTTTGAGGTCCGGATTATAGATCATTCCGGATTATGGGTGTCCGAATTAACGACGTTTGACTGTATAATAGATAATTTAGAGGTAAAAGTTTTTGAATATTTTATTTATTTTATACGTGGAAATGTTCATCCTTGGAAAGGGTATATACTTTTCCGCGATCAGGTAATTTCATATATGTGCTTTTTAACCGAGTTTAAAGATTCACAGAATTTTTTTTGCATTTTCGTGCAATTTTTGTAATTTATGAGAAAACATAGCAGTGTAGATGGATAAAGTTAAGAGTGTGTGCAATGCCATTTTTGTGCAATTCTGGAATGTTTTTTTAAGTAAAAATAAGTCGACGTGTAAATGGTTTATGTGTATGTGCTATTCTGAAAAACGCGCAAGGAGTTTGCGATTGTGCACTTTTTTCCAATTTTGCAGTTAATATTTGTCATGATTAAGCAGTTTTGTTACATAAAATTTCTAGCATAAGTGTAATTCGGCTAGTACATTGTTGGAAAAAGTGTTCAGTAAATAAAAAGAAAAGAAACATGTCTTTACTTCGTGAAGACAATATGGCGGCGAAAAAAAAAAATAGAGGGTTGCTGTAGCAGAGTAGGTCGCCAAATTTTCGCCAAAAAATTGCCAAGTTACCATAATTTAAAGATCAACCCATTTTGCTTTCTCTAAATTCTGCCATCGGCCCTGGGTTTATCTGAATAACAAATCAGTTATCCTCAACTGAAATTGCACTAAATAGCCTATATAAGTATCATTTAAAAAATCTACTTTTTTTTTCCCATATGAAAAGAAAAAAATTATTTTAATTTCCTTCTCCTTAACACTTCACAGCGCAGTATAATTATCACCTAGCGTGGTTGATGGTCATGCTGTGACAAAAGCAAAAAGTAAGAAATGATGATTCGCTACATTGGTGTCAGAGATATATATTATTCAGTAGGTGTAAAATCATTGATGTTATGATGTAAAATGCTTCAGTTTGAGATGCATGCCAAGCAAAAAGTGGCTACATATCCAATGCACATGGGTAAAGCATAAAAAAAAAATCTGATGTGGACATTGCATGACTTCCTTGTACAGTAAAAAATATGTAAAATTATACATATTTTTTTGCTGTACTTCATTTAAACTTATTTCCTCCCTCTTGTGCTAGTGTCTCAAGGAAATTAGAAAATGACATCAAGCATTGCAAATTTTTGCAAAATAAACATCGCAAATTTGAATTTAAACATCATGGTCGATTTTTGTCGTATGGGACTCAAATTTCTTATAATTTTAGTTTTTCATAACGAGCATAAAACTTACCCAAATATAAGTATAAAAATCAGAAGACCACGCAAAAATTTAAATTTCGTTATTAATTTTAAATTAGTTTCTTTTTTTTTTAAATTTGAAGTTACAAAAACATGAATATTTTCATCCTTTAAAACAATTCTGTAATTGGAAGTATATGACTATGAGCAACAATTGTGAATACTGATAGCGAATAAAGAGGGTGGATACATATACATACTTTCGGTACTCGCGATTGCAACCAAATAGGGAGGTGCAACTAGATGTTACAGCAGTCCCATATATGAAGTTTCAATGCTCTACAGCTAATCGTTTTTTTAATTATGTGAGATACATATGTACATACATATGCACGGGCATCAAGAAAAATATCCATTTCACAAAATGCTTTCTCATTTTTTATTATTTTTTACAAAGATAAAAGTGAAGAAAGAGAAAGAAAAAGACAAGAATTTCTGTAAACAGGGTGGCAGCTGCCAAATTTGCACAGGATGCTGAATTCCTGCAATTGTGATTATTTTTTAAGCCAAAACATAACAGAATTGTACAAATTCAGTGTCAAAGACAGCTTAGTTAGTTAGCATTGCACACATTAAATCTATTTTCTATCTTTTATTCGTTTTTATTTTTTGCTTTTAGTCTGAATTTAATAAAATAGTTATTCTTTTCATTAAAGCTTTACATATCGTTAGGATTGCCTCTATCTAACTACATTTTATGCCAACCCCTGTGGTTTGTGCCGAGTGTCATTCCCATGAATAGAAAAGTTCCTAAGACGGTCTTGCCTATGAGAGTTTAATATGTTTTAAGAAATTTTACAAGAAAGCTAATTACTGATATAAATATCACATTTTCATTAAAAATTAAATATAGTAGACACCCAGTTAACCGCATAATATAATACCGGAAATGACATTCATGGTAAACTCCAAATCGTGGTTAATCGCAGTTGAAAAAACACAGGTAAGAAGATTAACCAATATTATAATTAACAGAAACAATTATTGATATTTTATCTGTTTAATTTGGAGGAAAAGTTCATAGGGTTATGTTAATTAAATGAGCATTAAAAATAAGAACAGCACATATGGGGGGGAAAAAGTCCCTCCTCCCGAATATTACTTTTGTAGTTCAATAGGAGTCGATGGGAAAGAGAACATTAACAGCTGTACAGCTAATTTCATTTTGGAATTTAGTAATTTACTTTTAATGAATAATTGACCAATATTTATACATTTCAGATTATGTACTTTTGTGGGTAAGAACAATGCCCAATAAGCACTGTGATACCATCCACTATCAGTGAATCCACCCCTGCTTTATCACGAGGTGATATTTTCTTTATACAGTTAAAAGTCGTTAATTCGGACACGCATAATCCGGAATGATCTATAATCCAGACCTCAAAGCTAAAAACTTTCTGCGCATGCGCCGCGTTGACACATGCGCATAGGCATTTACGCGTGCGCGTAAGACCTTCACAACTGCGCAAGCGCAGAATACGTTTTCGCGTGCGCGTTTTATGTATAACGGACAGCATAAGCTAAAATTATCTAATTATCTATTTGAGTTAATGTTGATGATTGCATTGTTCCTTAATCTTCGAATTGGATCCGGCTTATTATTTTTTGCAGACTGTAAGAGCAATTTTATAAAAGTAAACTTGAACTTTCGATTATGTCAAATAGAATTTCCGATGCTGGAGCTCCCAAAGGATCTAGAAAACGAAAGTATCTTTCGATGTCCATCAAACAAAAAGTGGAATTGCTGCAAAAAAATGGATAAAGACATGAAGAAGGTGACAGAGAGGTTAGTGAAAACGAAGAAATTTCGATTGACAAGTTAGTCGGTATTTTCGGCACAGCAATTACGGCACTTGAACAGCGGAACTTTGTAACTGAACAAGAAATTATGTCTGTTTATAGAATTAAAGAGAAAGTATTATCACATAAAACGAAGCAGTTTAAACAACTTACATTAAAAGAAATGTTTAATAAAAGTAAACAAATAAATATTAAGCTTAGCTTTTTTTTTTTTTTTTTTTTTTTTTTTTTTTTTTTTGTAAATTTTGATACCCTTTAGATCATAATTGTTCCTTATTTCATAAATTACGGTTTCATATTTTTAATTTTAGAATTTCTGCATGCCATCTTACGAGATTTAAACTGATGATCTATAATCCGGAAAAATCGATAATCCGGAATCGCCGAAGTCCCGACGAGTCCGGATTAACGACTTTTGACTGTACACAATTTAAGTGATAAATGATATATTGCTTTAAGGAAATTTTTGAAGGTCATGTTAACTATAAGATAGTACAGTTTTTAAACAACATTATACGAAGTAGACCGATATATTACACCATATTTATTACAAGAATGAAAAATTTAAATCTATGATTCCAACCAATCCAAACTGTTATAATAAAATTAATTAATTAATTACATTTGAGGGGTTCAGAGCATGAGTGTCATAACCGACTCTCAGATACTATTGAGAGAATAGCATGTTCATTAAAACTGCAATTAAAAATAATGAGGAAACCAGAACAGTTTTATTGACAACATATACACACTCAGGTAAAATTGTACAGAGTAGCAAGCATATTGTGTCTAGTGAATCAGTTTGGAGTAAATTAGGAGGGAAAACAATGCTCAACAATTTCTGCATTAGACATCTGATATAATGAATCTCATCAAAAATTAATAGAACTGAAAGTTTTTTTAGTGAATGGCATAAAGAAGTAATACATTTCATGATATTAAACACACATTTTTCTTGAAAAGTATCACATTACATCTGGTTTTTTAATCTCTGTTTTAAAAGCCACTAGAAATTAATAAACCTAAATGTTAAAGTTACAACCTAAATGTTAGACTTGATTAAATGGTTTTAATGCTATTTAATCAAGTCTAACATTTAGGTTGTAACTTTTTTAAAATTTTATGGCAACTGATACTGTGCTTCCTAACTTTCAGCCACTGTATTGCTTACCAACATACCTTTTTCTAATTACTATAGCAAAATCCATCACCTAAAATATATTTATAATAAGCACATATGATGCAATTTTCTTGCAATCCATTCCTGTGATGGGCAAACAGATTTTTTTGCTTGTTTTTCAAAAAAAGGAGGTGCAAATAAAGCTTGACATCCATTAGGTATTAGTTACACAGCAAGTTGAAAATTTGTTGCTTCATACATATACACATGTATATTTTGACTCAGTTTCCATAAAAAAGAGGAGTTATGGCATCTGTGCTCTGAATCCTCTATTCCATTTTGAATTAAATATATTTCGGTATACCAAGAGATATATTTGCTTATAAACTATTCAACTTACCATGACTAACCAAACACCATTGTTACGAACTTCAAGAAATCTAGAAGATAAAAATGTATGATAGATTTCATTCAAATATAATATTAATTGCAATATCCTAAAGCATAAATTATAATGACATGCATGTCATTTATTATGAAGAAAAATTTCTTCATTAATGATTATAAAATTAAGCAATTTAAATATGCATCTTGTCAACAGGAATGGATTTCTTCCATGACCTGAAAAAAGTGTGGGGAGGAGAAGAAAAGGGACAAACAGAGCAAATATGGAGATTCGTAAGAGATTAAAATCTGAAAAGTATAGTAAAAAAGAATAAACTGCATACAATGAATTATTTCCGACTCAATGTTTACCTACTTTTCATTTACTTCCTCCAGCTTCCCCCACCAAATAATAATAATAATAATAATAATAATTTTGAATATGTTATTAGGAAGAAAAATTTAAATCCTCATAAATTTATAATCATAAAATCTTACTAATACAGTGTACACTGTGACTTATTTGAAAATAAACGCTTTATTACTTTTGTAATAAAATTCAAAGTAAATAATAAATCTTTCTCAATCCAATAAAAAGTGGGACAGAATTTTTAATATGGAAATTATTCTTACCATGTAGTAATTTTTTAAAAATAAACCCTTCCCAACAAATTTGTCATTTTCAGAACCTTACTCTACTTGATACTATCCACAATACATTAAATTCTGTTATATGGTGGAAAGGAAATCAAGCAATTTCTGAAACTGCAATCAGACCCACTAGTTACCCTCAATAACTTATTTCTGGCAATTTCAGCTTCCAGGACATCTAATTGGTTGAATCGTAAAAAAACCACTGTCAAAGACCTATGCAAGACAGACTATGCATAGCAAAGCATTTTCACCGAAGTCTCAGAATGTCTCATGTATATAGCCAGGAAATAGTTCAAAGATAACTGTTTCAACTAGGAACTCTCCCATTTAAATTAGAGCTGGGGAGAAACTTATTTCTCAGAAAAGTATCTTCGTGTCTCAAGTCGCTAGATGTGCTAACCCAATATGACTGCTCATGAACTCTACAACATAGATAAGGTTATTTTAAGCTGTCCCAGTAGAATTAGAACAAATCTCTTCTTTCGGATTTACAAACTGAAAATTACAAAACATTTCACTGCATGCTACAGCAATCTGTTTCATTATGCTGTGTTAAATTCTATTAATGATGATGTAGATTCAATTCATTTTGGATATGAAAAATTCATTATATTAAACATTACTGCTCTACAATAACTTGGCAAATTAATTCTGAATATATATGTAATATTGTGGCAGTCGGGCACATGAGTGCAGGTTGGCAATCTGGTCACATCAGAATTCCGGACATTGTCGTGGCTGACTGTAATCCAATAATGACACAGAAGAATTTAACTTTATAGCTCCATAGCTTTATTCAATTCAAACAGCTGATCATTATTCTTTACTAAATAAGATTAACTTTAAATTTACTGTGCCATACTATTAAAAAAAAGAAAGACAGAGTGGCAGCAGAAAGTTGTCACAGCGGTAGGCGAAGAAAAGCAATCTTTGACACACAAATGGCATGAATTCTTCATTTATAGGAATGGTTACGTAATATGCTTGAATATTCTAAAAAATATTGGTCTAGGAAAAAGATTCTGAAATCGCAGAAAATTAAATAGAGGTTGCTTGTTCGTGTAGAGCAAAGCCATCGTTTTTTTTTATACTTTACATATATAGAGAGAAAAAATGTTTTAAATATGCACAGAGAGAGATTTTATTGAAAATAAAAAGAGGTTACTACAAGTTTAGAAATTATGCTAATTAAATTACACACGTTATGAAAATATTTAAGTTAATTATCAAAAAGACAGTGGTACTTAATGTATAAATACTATATAAATGAGAAATTAGTATAAAAATTAATTTATTACATTTCTTCCACTTTAGAGGGTGAGAAAAACCTATTTCTTCCAGCCAATTTTTTTTCTATCATGGAAGACAATTCTGTTTGCCATTTTTCATTCATACAAGAACTAAATTGCCTAAAAACTTGGAGAATCTATCTCTTTAAACTTTGAAAAAAAGATGTAAAAGCAATGCTAGCAAAACAGCACAGATTTTATAAGATCTGTAAGAATATGGTACCTCTAAACCTGAGATATGATCTCTTTTTACATTCCGTTTATAATGTAAAACAATAAATATATCAGCTCTCTTCAGGGACACTGTCATAATGAGACTTTTTTCCACCAGAAATAAACCTCCATACCTGATATGACAAAATATTGACAACTATTAATATTTCAGACTATAAAGTGACATCTAATTTGAATAGGAATGCTGATTATAAATTAAATTAATGCTTTGATTTTCAAAATGGGCATGGTATAGCTTATTAGAATTATTTCCCCTCTTTTGTGTTTTTAAGATCACTGCATCACCTGTATTTCCTCTTGCCATACCAGACATTATACTCAAATTATTTAAAGCCAAATAATGAAGACTACTAAAGCAAGGTGAATATGAGATGTCACAGTATGGTGTGTGTGTGTGTGTGTATATATATATATATATATATATAATTTCTGTAAGCATATGTAATGTTTCATAAAGGGTGTGTGGTGTGTGTGTATATATATATATATATAATTTCTGTAAGCATATGTAATGTTTCATAAAGCAAAAAAGTTAATTCTGATTTTTAAGCAGTCATACTTTAAAAGGCAAACAAAAGTCATCTATTTCATCATTTTGGAGAAGGATAAGATAGAATTTTCTTTGATTGAAATACAAAACAAAGTCCGTAATCCGGACTCGTCGGGACTTCGGCGATTGCAGATTAAGGGATGATAAAAAGGTTTTTAGAATTAAAAACGTTTTTAGGAGATGTATATAAACCTAATGCTTCACTGACAGAAAGACTGTAAAATGATCTTACAGAATTAGAAACTCTTCTTTCTATACCATATATAGCCACAAAAAAACCGCAATCTGAAAAATTGACACGAGGTGAGAATAAAATGTTTGTTCTTTCTGAAATGGAGGGTTTATTGCAGAAGGAATCATTTCTTCAATGAAGAAAAGAAAAACTAGTTTGCTAAACAATGAGATCTTGCAGGGTTCCATATACGGAAATCCAAAATACCGAATTTTCTTGGATGACGAACAAATTAAAAAGGCAAACAAAAGTCATCTATTAACTTATATTAACATTAAGAATGAAATTATTCTCAGAACAATTGGAGAATTCGAATCAAGACAGTCAGACATTGCAACTGATTCTCTATCATCCTTTTCCACTGCTGAATAAGATTTTGAGAAATATTTTTGGATAATATTGAAAAGGTTAAAGCAAAGCAATGAAAATAAAAAAAACAAGAGCCTTCAGATATAAAAATGAAAAAATACAAAAAATATTTCTACACAGCCTTTGAAGAAATAGAGAAATATGATTGTGCTTGCAAGCCTCCTCTTTTAGAAGTTCTCAAAATCTATCCTGAAAAGTTAAAAGAAGTAGCCCTAACAGTAACAGCTCTTCCTCCTACTCAAGTTAGTAATGGAAAGACTCTTCTCAGCTCTGAAGTTTATCAAATCGGATCTATGGCCCTCCAACAAAGAAAACCTTGCTGAAGCTATACTGTTTCTTTGAAATAACTAATGCCAGTTTTTCCATTTCATAATAAATGCTAATTAATATAAATAATTTGCTATACCATCCATTTTTCAGCATCTATTACTTCTTTTATATAAAAAAAATATGCTGTAACCCATGTGTATATGTTTACACACATATATATATATATATATGAGGGAGTCGGAGTCATTAAAATTCCAGGAGTTGGGGTCAGTCATTTTCCCTACGGACTCCACAGCCCTGGTTACATGAAAAGGCAAACCATTTATTGAAAGAAAAGTAAGGGAATTTATGAAACGTGCCGACTGATGTCTTAAAATTTTCAAATGATTAGCGTTTCTTGGGTCAAATTAGCTTCAATGAAAACTCACAAACACGAACAAAGAACTTAAAGTAACAATATATAGTGGAACATTAAGTAATATTTGAATTAATGATAACTAATATTTTTTGAACTACACTAACATTAAAACATTCTGACTGATTACATATTCAAAGTTGATTACACAGTACTATTTCTTGAAGGCATATTCTTTATCATATTGTCATTGTTTATTTCTGTAACTATATACAACAATAAATAATATTTTATGTTGTAAACTATTAAAAATAATTACAAAAATATTTTCAGATCTTCTGTAAAAATTTGAAAAGGATAATAAGATTACGAAGTAAAAAATCAAATACTCACCGGTCGCTTAACTCTAATACACGGTTACTGGCAACTGTACTAAGCAACACTAACACTGAAACCAACAATTAGATTAATTAAAATAAAGAAACACGCATGCAAAGTTTTAACATGAGGATGCAATAAATACGGTGCAGATTTAGCGGTAAACTGCGGAGTTGCTCTAAAATGCATATTATTTACTTACACAACACCAAAATATTGCGAATTCCCGCCATTGAGGTTAGAAATTCATCTAGAATTACTCATTGATTGCAATTTTGTAAAAGGAAAGATATAGCAGAAGTATATGATACTATAATATCTTATAATCATTAGGTTTTCATATTTTTAATTTAATTATCAATCGTTATAACGGATATACGGAAAAGTGGAAAAATGAAACTGAACGGAGCGTTGCCACATTAATTTTGCTCAATACGAGCATCCAAGATCAAGGCCAACTTTTCTGCCCTTCTGCTTGAAATAAATTATTATTTGACAAGAATTCTAATAAAAATATTATAATATTCTCTTTAAGCATCTAATATTAATCAGTAATAGGTTTTCAGTAGTCTATTCCATATACTATAAAAAAAATTTAATGTACTCAGTGGAAATAAGTGGCAAGCAATAAACCTGCTACTTAAAATATTTTTAATCTTAGCAATATTTCTTGTTAAAACTGAATTTTGATAATTATTTAGGCAGTTTATCCCAAAATTTGTGTTTGCATATAACTGATAACTTTCTGAAAGCTCAATTTGTACTAGAAAGAGCGAAAAAAAAAATATATACTTTGCTTTTAGGCAGTTGTTTATTTTTGGATGGCGTCACTAAAATTGGTTGTTATTTAAAATCATTTCTTTTTTCAGCCATTTTATAGCCCGTTCGAATATAAAAGCTATAAATAAAGAATTAACGGATCTCCACCATGTTTCTGTGAAATGATGAGGAAACATTTGTAGTACAGACTTCGCATGCTGTGTGGAGCTCTAAATTACCCTGACACGATTCAACTGTTTGAAAGTTAGTATTGTTTGCAAAATTTAAGGTTTTCGTGGTTTACGGTTCGCCTCAATCCAAGCCCAACTAGTCTCACCGGATTTAAAGTGAAACGATATATGAATTCTTTTTTCCAGCAGTGTAAAAGAACTGAACTGAAGAGAGACTTTTTTGTTTTTGATTTTCGACTATGTATGCGAGTCTGCGACGCAGTCCTTTCCGAAATTAATAGTCAAACGAAAAGGATTAAGAACGAATTTTACTTCGTTTTCATATAAAATTAATATTGCACTTTTGAAAGAAAATCCAGATGTCAACAAATTTTCGGTTTAGAATTGCAATTCAAGGACAAGTTCGAAAGGCTGGCAAGCTGCCAAGAGGAATTGGAAAACGCTATTTTGCAGTCTGACGACTATTCTAAACAAAATTATAAAGAGTTATCAAAATCCGAAGCATATAGAGATAAGTATTACGAACTGACTTGCAAAATAAAATGATGTGTAATCGGAAACAAAGTTAAGGAATCATCGACGGGAAGAGTTTTATACCGAAAAAAGACATTTTAAACTCAAAAAAATTGAGAGAGGTTTAGTGGACAAGCGAAAGAATTTCTCTCGTTTTGGTTACAATTCGAAAAAATACACACCGATGGAAGTTTGCCTTTTTCAATACTGATTGCATGATGTCGTGCCGAAATGGAAAGCTGCAAGAGTCACAGAAATTTTACCAGCTACTGCTGCAAATTACCCAAAGCATATTTTTTTAGCGAAGATCTACTAATGCAAATTTATGTTAGAGATCTGAATATGGTTATGAGGAGTGCTATGTCGGCATGTTCTCAAACGGATCTTCCTACATTATATGATAAACCGAAACGGAAAGTCAGAACATTACAATCCTTTGGAAAGACTCAATAAAATATGGTGACTTCTTAACACCTCTTATCGAATCGTGTGTACCTAAATGAGTCCTTATTACGTGGGAAAGGAGCAGAAATTGTGTTGATTTGTCAAAAAGGATCTTTGAGAAGCTTAATGTGTTTTCTGAAACTGGTTTTACTCTCTCGTAGCGATTTTGGAGCTAACTCAAATGTTAAGAAAAAAGAGACCAGAAAAGTACACTAGAATACCTTCCTCCGCGCCATTGGGTAGCATGACTAATCAACGAAGCTAAAGGTGATATTCTTTTGTGCTAGTGGTAGAGAATTTGACTCGCATTAAAGAGACCCGGGATCGAAACCCAAGGTCATTACCGTCTTCAAGGACATGCGAAACTCGTGAGCTGCAGCACTTCTCACTGGACCTAATAGATGGCGACACGAGCAAACAACTATTCACTTGGGAGCCGCTGAAGTCTCTCGCGCCAAATGATCTCTACAAAACGGTAGGTGACATTTTAATTTTTTATTTAGTGATAAAGTCATTTAAGTCAGGAGTGTTTTATGGCTATAAACTTGAGACTTGAATATAAGATTTTGATTAAAAAGGAGACTGTTTTTGTTTTTTACGAATAGGTCACACATCTAGAAACTGTAAATCTAAAAATAAGTGTATTCAATGTAATAAAATCGGTACTACTCCGTTTCGAGGGACGTAAGGAAATCGCAAAATGACGCTAGTGATGCTTAATTAATTGTGTTAAACCTTTCAAAGTAGTAACGAGATATCATTAAAAATGTGTGCTCGAAAGATCATGAAATGAAATTGAGTAATTTATTCTAACAACTCGACAGCTGTAAAGCACAGGTTATAGGCTCAAGAGCCTCCTTTAGAATAGCTCAGTTCTACACCTTATAAAAAAGTCATTCGTCAAGAATTGCTTCGCGCTAGATTTGGGGGTAGTCACTCTACGGCATCTCTTTCGACGATGAAAAAGCGTATTTCAAATTCATCACATTCACAGGAGTTTGAATGGTAGGGTACTAGGACACAGGGCTCAACCTATGTCGAAACTCATCGTAAAATTTAAAATTATTCACAGGTCCAAGTTATTAGGTATAAAATACTAAAATTCAAAATTATTTCACTAGCATGGTTCAAATACTTCAGAGATGCACACAGGTTCATTGTAAAAAAGTACATACAAACTCCTATAAATGGGATCAGGATTGACAATTGAAAAAATGCATTATAAAATGATAAAACATCAAACAGTTACATAAGTGACTTGGCATTTACATGACCATAGGTCACTTGAGATTTTCTGGGGAGCAATAGTTATGGTTATACATTGGAAGGATTTTAGTATTATTTTCTCTGAGTCTTAAATGAAAACTGTGCGTGGTAAAATAACGATAGGCATGAATGCATCTAATACCGTTGAACCTAATTTTTAAAACACTATTGCCTATTTATTTTTTTACTGCTATTTTTATTTGTTTGTTTGCCGCTTATTTATTTCTTTTAAAAATAGTATTTATCTTTATTGTGTTACCTAAACTTTTTTTTTTCATTTTGTTCCCTCCCATTTAAATTTTGCCTCCCGGGGCGGCCACACTGGTTTCACCTATATTATAATTATAAAAAAAGAGAGAGAGAGAAACTATTAAAATAGTTTTTATTTTTTTTCCTCCATATATCCCACACAAATCAGTACTAGCTTTTAAAGAAATGCCTCCAGTTTAATCTCCTGTCATTAAAAAGCATTAGCTTCCATTCACTTTTTCAACGATAATGTTATGAACTTTTGTATATATAAGTAGCTAATTTTAGTTAAATCATAATGTGGAAATTATAGTATTTTGTTATAATGTCAGATGAAATACTTGAAAGACCACCCAGACAGTATAATTGTTAGGGAAGCCTACTGTGCTACCGAAGGGCCTGTGTTCGAATCCCGGAGAAGGCATGGATATTTGTAAATGTATAGTGCCTTTGCAGCATGGGGGTACTCTAAATATATGGCGAGCCAAAAGTCCTCTCGTGCGGATTGGTGGTAATAGATAGGGGTAGGAGAACCGGGGTGTTCTCTCTCAAAATTGGGGTGCAATAAAAGTCCAACCTCCTTCGGGCTATGGCAACCATTTTTCCATAGAATTCATGGACAAGACAACAAATGCTTGAAAGAGACGAAGCCTTGCCGAAAAAATAAGGTTACAGGGGCGAGTCTATTAAACATTAAGGTAAAATGACTGTCTGATTAAATTGGCGAGATATTGCCAAGTTAATCATAGTTTTGGCGACTATTTTCAACGCCAAATTTGGCTATAAATTGCCAATTTGGCAACATTTTGGTCGGGTGCCTGTATAACTGTAATGGGTATTGCAATTGAATAAATGTAATTAATCTATATATGCAATTGTAACCGTATTCAACCCTTAGATGTGACTTTAACCGTATATACCTTACAGTAACTTCGAGAAATGGAATTTACTAGAAATCTCTCTGCGGCCGACTAAAAATCTCTGGACTGACAGAGCATCTGCTCTCATTTGTTGCTAGTTTATAGCTGAATTCTGAGCATTGAGATGTCCGAAAGCGCTTTGCCTTTTAGATGCGCTTAAAATTCTTAGTAGTTTAGTAAATGTAATTATCGATTGTATTCTGTGATACTATCAAGAGCTGTGTTCCAAAACTGTGAAGATTTTCTTTTGATAAAATATTATGAAGCTACTATCGGTTTTAGGCGCATTCAAACTACGTGATTTGTGATTTGTTAGTGCTTCAAATACTCAATCCAAGGGTTTTTACTTGTCGATTAGAGTACTCTTGACCAGTGGTTATATAAAATCAAACCGCTCTGTGCAGTAAATGCATTGCATTTGATAGAAAATACAGGAACGAATAAAATTACCCTGAATAGTAAAATTATTTAGAATCCAAAAGATAGTGGAAATAAACTTGTCCGAGCTAGTAAACAGGAAGGATAGATTAAATAAAAAGTTATTTCCGAGATGATTAATACATTAATATACGCACGCAACAATATGTTCCAAAACTACATTACTGCATGTATTTATGTCTTCATTTTATATTTTTGGCGAAATATACGTTGCGTTATACTTACAAGATTGAAAATTATTTTTTAATGCATCATCTGCATCCCTTCGAAATCTGAGGAGTTGGCCGAAATTTCCTTCATTCTGATGCGATTACACACTATCATCATTTGCATTCGTTTTCCCAAAATTACAGTGACCTCTATAGGAAAATACATTTCCCTCACGCATGATCATTTTTTTATTTATTTATTCAGAGTCGGATTTAGACTTGATAAGGCTATTTGAGATATGGGGCCCTTTATAAGTCTGTTATATTGTTACGAAATGTACAGGCGCGATAAGATGGCTTCCCTGCAAAGCAGGGTTGCCATAAAATGCCAAAGGAAGGCAGTGTTGCCACATTTGGCGAGAAATCGCACATTTGGCAACATTTGTCGCCAAAATTGCGATATGCCATGGACGGATGGAGAACCTTCTG